TCCCCAATAATACCACTTTATGGTATATATGTGTGATCAGAGATCTGTCATTGTAGATCCTAGTTCTATAGAGCTATCAATATGTTCATCATGACAGATCCATTTTGGTATTGCTAATAAGACTGCAAATGACAGAAGTCCAGGAAGGGGTTTTGTGAGGAGGCTTGTGTATTGGAAAGGATGTGGACTGCGGTTAGGGCAGGCTTTCCAAAAACATAGGGCCAGCCCCTACTGGTAGAGTCTGAGTGAGACCTGAAACTCGTGTCCTACTTTCTGATGATCTTGGAAAAAAAATGCAAATTTCTGCATGGGATTTTCTGTTCATCTGCTACCAGGTTCCTCAGTGGTTTGCTGGCATAAAGGAAACTGAATCACAGTCCCTCTATCCATTCTGTAACAGCAGCCTCTTTCCTTGCAGGGTTTTTTTACCCCCAGCTTGTACATCCCTTAGGCCCATTTTTCTCATGAGTCCCCCGTTTCTCTTCAGGTTCATTCATATCACTGAAATGTTTCAAAGTAAATGCTAATGTGACTTGATGTCCTTTACCCTTCTCGCATCACATTAATAGCTATATGTGTGTGTGTTGTCTCCAACTCACATGAAAGTGGGGATTGAGCTCATTTGCTTTAACAAAAGTGAGTCATGTTAGCAGAAAGTTTGAAACCTAGTGAGGCAGGGAGTGGATGTGAGGGAGCCACCTTACCTGATCTGGGAGTGAGAGGCTGTCATGGAGGAGGGATATATTTTGATTGGCAGTAGATGGAAGCAGTGGTAGAGAGGACGTTCATGCATGGAAGAAGGGTGCAGAAGATTGGAAAGAGCATAAAGGGAAGGGAGTGGGCATGGTAGGGACAGAAAAGCAGGGAGAGAGGGATGTAGAGCAATGGGCACTGATCCATGTTTAATTTTAAATACTTAATGTTGGAAATAAGTCTGGGCACCCTACACTTAATGTTCTATAGATATAAAACTTTAGGGGCCAGTGTCAAGTCTGTTCCCCACTCTGGCACTCTGAGTGCAGACAGTGGTGTCACACAAGAGACTTTAAACAACCCTGCCACTAAAGGCTTCTGTTTCAAAACTCCCCAAGGTCACAGGCTCCCTGGCCTTGGATTGGTATTGCTGCCACCACCCTAATGCAAAAACCTCTTTGAGAACCCAGGAAGGTGCACTTAGGAATTCCTTCCTGTGGGGTATCCTCAAGCTCTTTAATCCTCCCGCTAGAGAGCTTGAAAAACTATAATTTATCCTAGCAGTTTGGCTTTACAGACTTAGTCACCTGCACACAGAGTCTCCTGTTTTATAGGACACAGGAATCAGCTCATGGTCTGAATAGGGTGATTTTTATTAATAAAACAAAGAGAACATACTTGGTGAAACACTACTTGGTTCTTTGATGTTACTTAGCAACTTAAAAAAAAGGATTAAAACACAGAGAATTGCTTCTCTAGGGTTTAGTCTAGAAAGTTACAGTGTAAGGAGAGGGAATTATATGTGCTTAGTGCAGAGAAGCCCAACGAATCCAAAATAAAGAAAATAACCTGATTGCATCTGACTACACATTCCCTGTTCTACTCACATATCTATTGTTCCAAGACTTAGTCATTCCCTAAGTATGGATCTCACTGGCTTAATGTCTCCATGCCCTGCTCCCTGGCTTAATTCATGTATTCCCAGCCTCTTCTTTGGACACACAATAATAAGAACAGGAAGATCACTACTTCCAATTCAAAAGTCCACACCATTTCTATTGGCTTTCCTGGTCTCCTACCAACTCATTTCCTGCTTCCCTAGCATTCCTGGGGACTCTCTAGGAACCACTTAAGGTTTTAAGCCTTACAGGCAAGCCAATTAGGGCTAGGTCTCAAAAGTTAATGACTGTGAAAAGTCTTTAGTTAGCTGAGTGGATGGAATGTCCAGAAAAGTGAATTTACCTCTCCCATTCCTCACAGCCAGTTTCTCTAATTGGCTAATGTCACTTTATACTACCTAAGCGGCAAAAGTCACTGCTACTTAAGCAGTGGCCAGAGTTGGCTTGGGGGACAATCCAGTTTGTTCCCCAGTAGTGTGTGTGTGTGTGTGTGTGTGTGTGTGTGTGTGTGTGTGTGTGTGTGTATAATTTCCTCACTCATTTTCACTCCATCTGCTTTATAATACCCACCAAAGCTGATATTTCCCCCTAAATTGTGGATTTTTTTCAAAAGTCAAAGTATCAAATACCTCCTCAAACATCCTGATGCATGAGGGCTGGTGCTGCAACATCTTTTAGGAGTAGGCTTAATTTCTCTGTGGATTGGGGTAGGAGAGGGTTTTGGTCCATGGTTCCACATCCTCCCTGTTCCACCTTTGTGGTTATGTGCATTCCCTTGGTGTCCTTAAGGAGCAATCCATGTACTCTCTCTCAGTATCCAGAACTGAAGCCTCTTTTCCACAAAGACAATGAGAAACATACTGTGTCTTTTCAAACAATGATTTTATTAATAACTTGTATTAATGTAGAAAGAGAAAGAAACATAAAATCAGAGCATCAAAATTCACACCCCAATAAAATACAAATGGAGAAAGCGCAGTAAAATTGAAATAGATATATAACCATAACTATGATATTAATGCATGTCAATAAGTTGCTTTCACATTAGTGCAAACATACAAAAATATTTTTTTCCATAAGAGAAAGTTAACTTTGGGAGTAATTTTTTGCCTTCCCTTTGTAGCACTGCAGATATTTACTTTATAGGACTACTGTCTGGCTGAATTATTAGTTATGTACAAAGGTATGAGGCAGCAATGCAATCTGTAAGTGATTAGGAATTAGTGTAAGTGATCTAATCCTGCCACCCTTTATTCATGTGAGTAGGACTTGCCTGCATGAGCAATGGCATTTGGAGCAAATGGGTGAAAGTCCAGGGACCCTCGGCATGAGTCGTGCCTGCCTGAATGAGTTTTTGCAGGATCAGGCTCTTAATACTTAAGTAAGAGCTAACAAAGCATACCCATTTTCTCCTCTCTCTTCCTGTGCATATCACATCACTCTCTGGAAATGGAGTTGTTCATGGTGTCAAAGTTAAGGGACATGCAACATCTATGGAAATGTCATTGCACGGTAAAGGGTGATATGGTATTAAATATTAGGAATCTAGCTGAGAAAAAGCTTCTACATTTAAAATGAAGTCAGAAGTTTATAATTTTGTTTGTTCTTGTAAGAAGTTTTCACCCTGATTCATGAGAAGGCAACGAGTATTATGACCAAGAAAATCCCTTTCCAATGGAAAAAAAACAGGTTAGATGCAAGCCTGTACTATTCAGGTCTTAAAAATTTTCTCTGGAGATGTTGCTTTCCAGATTCACTGTTTCTTATTGTATGTTCAGGCCTCTGGGTCAATGATCAGCTGTGTGATATCCCACAGCAATATTTCATCTAGTATGACATCACTGTTTACTGCAGTGCATGCCGACTCCTATCAGCACTGATGTTGAATTTTCAGTATACAATTTATTTTGACTGTGGAATCAGTGGTGTATGGAAATTGGCATCCTGAGCATTCCAGAGCCTGCAATAGTCTAGTAGCCTGTCACAGAATCAGGAAAGATAATATATTATTGTGGAATCATGGAGTGTAAAAAGAGCACTAAGCATATTATTTTTTCACTCTTTTTTGGGTTATGACTAGAAGACATAAACCATGTTTAGTTTCTGCTTGCAAGGCTGTTAGAGAAATAAGACAAGAAATTTTGTATACAGGCTCTTTTTCTTCCTTTTTTTGTTTTTGAAAGCTAAAATATAAATAAGGCTAGGCAAAGCAAACCTTAGCCCTGCTTTATTCAGGATTTTACTGCAACAAAACTATAAGACTTAGTCTACACTGCAGGGTTTTTGTGCAAGAAGCTTTTTGCAGAAGAGTTCTTCCACAAAAACTTCTTGCGCAAAAGAGCATCCAGATCTCAAAGTGCATCACAAAAGAGATGTGCTTTTGTACAAGAGAGCGTCCACACTTCATGGACACTCTTGCAAAAGAAAACTCTGATGGCCATTCACAACTCTGATGGCCATCAGAGCACCTGTGCTTTTTCCGATAGGGGTTTCTTGTGCAAAACTCCCTAAAGAGCATCCACACCTCCCTTTTTGTGCAAGAGCTGTAGTGCAAAAAGGAGTTATTCCTCATGGGGAGAGGAATAACTCTACCTGCAAAAGCCCTCTGTCCTGTCGATTTTCTTTCGCAAAAACACGCTTGAGGTGTGGACGCTCTGCCGGTTTTTGTGCAAAAATGGTCAGTTTTGTGCAAAAACCTTGTAGTGTAGACATAGCCTAAGAGAATACGTGGCTTAGACAATTTTTTTGTGAAATTCTGGCATTTCAAATTGTTTCCATTTTTTTTCCAGTTGATTAAAAAAATCTAGAGAGCTCTTGAGATTTTCATCCCACAATACATTTTTTCATGTCACCCCCTCCTGTGTCATCCACTGTTAACCATTCTTTTTATGATCAAACAAAAACATTGACTATACTACGGTCATCAAGAATAATTTTCATTTCATTTCTCATTCTCTTGGGTCACATTTATGCTCTTTTATCAGAACCTGACAGTTGTTTCTCTATGAAGGCTATGACTTTCAGAATCACAATCCTGGTTTGTGGCTACACCTTTACTTTGCAATTAATACCATTTAGATTTCTAATGACTTGATGTGTGCAGTAACCTCCAGAATTGCAAGGCTGCATAGAGGCACCTTTAAAGAAAATAGTCATAAAGATATAAGTATCTGAGGCTACATCTAGACTACAAGCCTCTTTCAAAAGAGGCTTTTTCGAAAGAGAACATCTAAACTGCAACCACTTCTTTCAAAAAAGCGAGCTGCTTTTTCAAAAGAGAGCACCCAGGCAGTCCGGATGCTCTCTTCTGAAAAAGCCCTGTTTGCAATCAAGAATGCCTTTTTTCGAAAGAACACTTTTGAAAAAAGGCATTCTTCCTCGTAAAATGAGGTTTACCATGGTCAGGTTTCAATTTAGTTTTGAAAGAATGTGGTGGTAGTCTAGATGCAGGGGAAGTTTTTTTGGAAAAAAAAAACACTTTTTTCAAAAAGACCCTGTAGTCTAGACACACCCTGAATGTTTAAACTTCCTCTTAGAATGTGTAAAACTGAAGACAAAATAATTAAATAAAGTAGTCAAGGGGAAAAGATTATTTTAAAATGACAGTCACTGGCTAATATGGTACCCCATGTTTAGCACAATTCTGGTGAACAGAAGGTCAGTCATATCCCTCAACAGAGGTGTGCACAATCTATTACTTCCCTGTTTATAAAAGCTCTTTTCATAAAGTTTTAATACGTCTTCAAACCCCACATAGGAAAAACAATGTAGCAATGCAATTGTAAATAAACATTCCCTACCTTAGATATGCAGTTGATTTTTATTCTGAAAAAACACATAGCTTATAAAATTCTTGGGAATATTAATACTTTTTATGATTGTGCTTCAGTTTTTGTCCTTATAATGTTACTTTCCTGTCAACTATTGAAATAAAAAGATGAATCAAGCCCCATGTAAATGGACATCATATCCTCTCATGGAGGCCTTCTTCCTAATGTTTTTCTTATGGTTTTCAATGTAGGTAAAAGGGCTCTTGAGAGAAAACAAACCTTATTCCTTGCCCTCTTAAAGGCATCTTCTGAATTATATTTCCTGAACAAATAGTTCTTTGACCAGTGTTCATGTTTAAAGAGCAAACACATACTACTTTACATGCCTTTTTATAGTAGAGACTTACAAAATTGAAGTATTTGAATTTTCTGTGGCATCTGTAGTAATCCCCATATGACAAATAAGAAATACTGCAGTGTCACAAAAAATTTAACTGCTGTGAGTGGTTACATGTCCCTAAGTTTTGTTTAATTGAACAAACTTTTAAGTAAAAAGGAAGATGACACTTTTACTGGCTACATATTTAATGTGCTTTACAAACCAACAGAGATGTCATGCTCTGCAGTAGATGGGGTGTATGTTAAGCTAACACGTTCTAATTTATCACGATAAAGAGCCGGACAGTGTTTGCAGAGGTAGATTGCAATGTGTTTTTGGAAAAAAGTATGAAGATATTTCCTAAATTTTTCCCCAACAAAGGCATAGATCACAGGATTGATACAACAGTGGATCATCGCAAATGTTTCTGTCACTTGGATTGCTAGCTCTATCTGCTTGCTGGTCTCACAAGTATTTAGGACAAATAAATTCGGAAAAGTGTTCATGAAAATAACAATATTGAATGGGGTCCAGAAGATAACATAAACAATCATTATGATAAAAATAAGCCTGACTGCCTTATGTTTTTTCTCATTCCTACCTCTCAATAATGTCTTTATAATTGCTGCATAGCAGAAGATCATAATGAGCAGTGGAATGACAAGTCCCACAAGGTTCATCATTAAAGTCTGGCATTGCTTCCATGTCTTTTCCTGTCCCCAGGGATAATGAGGGCTGCAGGTCCAATGAGTAGCTTCCTTTTGAGCACTGTGAAATATTAACTCTGGAAACGAGGCTAATATTGCAACACCCCAGGTGACAACACTTGTGAGAATGCCATAGGTAACTGTCCTAGCTTTTAAAGCAAACACTGCATGGACAATTGCCAGATATCTATCGACTGTCAAAAGTATTATGAAAAACATCCCACCATAGAAGCCAGCAATATAGACCCCTGAAAGAATTTTACACATTGCATTTCCAAAAACCCACTCATGTGCTGCATAGTAAGAAAAGCAAATCGGAAACTGCCAGATTCAGCAGATAGATGTCAGCCATGCTTCTCAGCCTTTTGTATTTTATCAGGATCAGCACCACTAGCGCATTGCCCACCAGGCCAAGTATCAGCACCAAGGAGTACAGTGGTGGCAGAAACTGGGATGCAAAATTTTTTACTTCAGGTTTTTGGCATGGTTCTAACAAAAAATCGTAGTAGAAGGTTGTAGTCTCAAATTCTTCATCCATCTTTTGCAGTCCTAGATGAAGAAAAGAGTTAAAATTGAAGAGATGGAGTAAAACATAGACAAAGATTGGAATTTTACACCAAATGGTATCATAGAGAAGATGGTAGTGACTATTTAAGTTGACTGATACTTTTCATCATAAAAGATCAATCCAACCCTTTTTTGAGAAGTTCTGATACCTCCACTATATGTTAAATACTGGTTTCCACATGCACTATGTATGAGAAATGTGTGTCATCCTCAGTAAACTGTTCAGCACCATGACATAAGTGAGACTGCACTGATGACTAATCTCAAAGGCAGCTAGTTCTCAGATGGTTTGTCAGAAGCTCGTTTAAGTAGTTTTCAGAATCGTCAGAATGAGATAAAAAAAGCAGCATTTTAAAAGGGCTTATCTAGAGGAATCTGTTAAGGTTTTTCAGGTTTCCTAACTACATTCATGTGTTACTAGCTCATACGACAGAATAAGGCATCAGTGGGTGTGCATTGGTAGGCTGTAGATGGAGTGCTTCTAAATAGCATTCCAAAAGAAAAATTTGCCAAACATTAGCTGTTGAAAATTATTCTTTCAGAAAGTTCACTCATTTCTCACATTAATAGACCTCTCTGTGCATCTGATTTGATTTACTTTGGCTCAGAAAAAAAATTACTCCTTACAGAATATACAAAGAGAAACACTAAGAATCCCAATTTTCAGATATCTATATACAATAAAAATGCTGTTAAAATACACCTTGAAAAACAGAAACCATTTGATTAAATGAGAATAAGGCCCAAGGTTTTTATTTAACAAAATTGTTCCTGTAAATCTTTGGCCTTATTCTCACTTATACCCAGGCCTCTTTAAACTGTTCTGATCATGCAAAGGAGCCTTGAAGGAAGTAAACATAAATATAATTTATTTTTACTGTAAGGCCCTTTTACCTTTTCAGAGAAAGATAATGTGGCCTTCGAGTGAATGATAATTACACTCTCTTGTTCTTGCCATAATAATATCTTTGTGTGCAAGAAATGACTTACCCTTCCCTAATTAGGAAAATGTTGGAGAGGTGATTTGACAACTTTGTACCACCGTTGACTTTGCTGGATGAAATGTCAAGTTCTACTTCTTTGCAGTTCAGCTTGAGTCCAAGCAATGAAAAATGTAGACTTTGAATGAAAACAGAGCACTGTTCTCTACCAGCCAAAAAATATTTAGGACGTTATTCTTAGTAACCTGTAAGAAAATTCACATTTATAAATTGGAATTGAACACCACTCTGAATGGCATCTAATCATTTCAAAACCATCACCTTTGGGGCATATTTTTCTACTGTAAAATTTTAGTAAAAATGCTTGCCAGCATCCATTTTGAATGTATCTGCAGTTAGGATTGATTATCTTATTGTAATTATTGGGTTCTGCCAAAATGTAATATTGGGTTGAAATGATCCACTTGATTCAAGATTTTATTTCCTCTTATTTCAATGGTCTTTTGGCTGAACTTTAATGTGGTATGTCCTTTGCATCGGGAATGCCTATTGTCTGGAGTTTGAAAGATGGTTGAAATCTATGTGTTTCCATCAATGTGTCCAAAATGAGACCAACTATTTGTAGCTATTTGAAAGTTATCCGTAAACAAATTTTGCTATTTATAAATACAAATATTTATAAATATAGTTATTAAAAATTATTCAAAGTATTTCAGCCTCTGGGTTTCTTGGACTTATTCACAGGGGGTACGTCTACACTACAGCGCTAGTTCGAACTAACTTAGTTCGAATTAGTTAATTCGAACTAAGCAAGTTCGAACTAACGCATCTAGAACTAAAAACTAGTTCGAACTAGCGTTTTGCTAGTTCGAACTAGTAAGTCCACATTGAGTGGACTCTGAACAGGGCTTAAGGATGGCCGGAAGCAGTGCCGGCAGGGCATAAAAGGAGGACTTAGAGCATGGAGATGCTGTCTCAGGCTAGCCGAGGGCTGCGCTTAAAGGGTCCCGACCCCCACCCCGGACACACAGTTCTAAGGGGTGCCCCGCTTGCAAAGAAGTTCTGGCTTGGAGTGCCCTGAGTGCCCACACTGGGCACATCACACCACTCGGCCATCAGCCCGGCTGCACTTGCCGCAGGCTGCCATCTGGGGAGAGGGAGTAATTGGGGGGCTGCAGGAGAGCTTCCACCCCCAGAAGCCCGCAGAGCCAGCCCAGTCCTCCCCATCGGGGGCTCGTACCCCATTCCTCCCTCACCTCCTTCCACTTGCCCTTCCCTAGCCCCCCTTCTTATTGATGTACAAAATAAAGATAACGTTTCTTCCAACATTGACTCTGTCTTTATTGAAAAAAACTGGGGGAGACTGGGAAAAGGAGGTGGGAGAGGGGAAGAGAAAGGCTGGGAGAGGGGAGGGCAACTAACATGATCAGGGGTTGGGAACAGGTCCCAGATGAAGAAAGGCTACAGAGACTGGGACTGTTCAGCTTAGAAAAGAGGAGACGGAGGGGGGACAGGATAGAGGTCTCTAAAAGCAGGGGTTGGGTGGAGAGGGTGCATTCAGAAAAGTTCTTCCTGAGTTCCCATAAAGAAGGACTAGAGGACACCAAAGGAAAGGAATGGGTAGCAGGCTTGAAACTAGTAAGAGAAAGTTGTTCTTCTTGACAAAGCAAATAGTTAACCTGTGGAACTCCTTGCTGCAGGAGGCTGTGAAGGCTACAACTAGAACAGAGTTTAAAGGGAAGTGAGATCAAGTCATGGAGGTTGGGTCCATGGAGTCCTATTAGCCAGAGGGTAGGAGTGGTGTCCCTGCCCAAAGTTTGTGGAAGGCTGGAGAGGGATGGCACGAGACAAATGGCTTGGTCATTGTCTTCGGTCCATCCCCTCCAGGGTCCCTAGGGTTGGCCGCTGTTGGCAGACAGGCTACTGGGCTAGATGGACCTTTGGTCTGACCCAGGACGGCCATTGTAAGCTCAGGGCTCAGGGTCGGGGGTCTCAGTGGACCCCCTTGATTTTCATGCACACCTGGTCCTGGGTGGCCAGGCTGGCAGCTCTCCTGCCCTAGACGGCCACTTTCCTGTGCCTAGTGCAGAGATCGTGGACGAGGTCCAAGATGTCTGCACTAGCCCAGGAAGGTGCCCGCCTCTTGCGGTCCAGGGCAAGCTCCCGGGAGCCGCCAGCCTGGTCCCGGCAAGAGGGGGTGGGCTGGGGGGCATCGGGTGGGTGGCTCTGTGCCGTGCCAGGTGCAGGGTCTGCTAGCTGGGTGCTGGCAGGTTTGCACCTGGCACGGGCACCGTAGCCAGCCCGTGCCCCTTTAAGGGGTCCGGGACCGGGAGGGGGGCATAGAGTTTCCCTGGTGTTGGCCAGAGTGGCCACCAGGGAAACCTGGGGAGGGCTAGCCTCCCACTAGTTCGAACTAAAGGGCTACACAGCCCTTAGTTCGAACTAGCTAGTTCGAACTAGGCGTTAGTCCTCGTAAAATGAGGTTTACCTAGTTCGAACTAAGCGCTCCGCTAGTTCGATTCAAATTCGAACTAGCGGAGCGCTAGTGTAGCACCTATTAAAGTTAGTTCGAACTAACGTCCGTTAGTTCGAACTAACTTTGTAGTGTAGACATACCCAGGCTGTAGCTTTGAATATTCCTGACTGCATTTATAATTCACTATTTGTGCTGTGAAGCTGACTACCCATATCACAAAGTATTTCTTCTCCCTGATTGTATGACTGAAACTTTTAGAAACGGGGAGGCTTCACTAAGTCCTCTCTAGTAAGTATTGTTGTGTGGATACATATTCCCAAGTTTCTGCAAATATTTCTGCTAACCAAAACAAATAGTTTATACAAATGTTAGAAGGAAACAATTTTTAAAAGTTGCAAATACCGCGTCTTGTATGGCAGAGAAAAGACTGCACACATTCCTGCCTTGTAGCAGCCCTCTTAGAAACTGTAGTGTTTCGAAAGACTGTAATATATATGAAGAGCAGAAGTTTTCGGTGGAATGTTTATCCCTTCATCTGCATGTATAGTTTCTGTGAAGGAGCAAAGTTGGTAGTGATAGTTAATACTGAATAGATTTATTTTTCCCTTTGTGGTGGTACAATGTTTCAGGAAGTGCTTTGCTGGACAGTTCCCCAGTGTTGGCACTGGCTGCATGCAACAAGAGAACACTAGTTCTTCTATCTAGTGCTTAATCCAGGGTGGGCAATAATTTTTAATGGGGACCACTCCTAGATTTTGGCAAATGGTCAAGGGCCGCATTTCTACTACGGGGATGTGGGGTCTGTGACAGAGATTGGGTGCAGAAGGGAGCTTGGGGAAAGGAACTGGGGTGCATGAAGGAGTGTGAATTCTAAGAGGGAGTTTGGGTGAAGGAGGAGGTTGTGATCTGGGGCAGAGGCTTATAGTGCAGAGTCCAGAAGGAGGTAGAGGTATAGGAGAGGATTCTGGTCTGGAGAAAGGGCTTTAGGAAAGGGTGCAGGGTGTGGGAGGGAGTTGTCACCTGGGTGACAGTGGTGTAGAGGGTTTGGGGGGGGGGGGTGACCTGAGGTGAGAGAATAGGGTGCAGGGTCAGGGAGGGAGTGTGGGTGCCAGAGAGGATTCTGGTCTAGAGGAGGGGCTCTAGGAGGGGGTGTAGGGTCTGGGAAGGAGTTGTGACTGGGGGAAAGGTGTACAGAGGGTTTGGGTGGTGGCCTGGGTCAGGTAGTTGGGGAGGAAAGGGGGGGGTGCTTGAAGCAGGCTCTGGCTGGGAGGCACTTACCTAAGTAGCTCCCAGCCAGCAGTCCTGCAGGAAATTGAAGGCTGCAGTCACAAGGCTCTGCTCTGGGCAGGGGGGGAGGGAGAAAGAGAGGGGGCTTCATTGGCTCCCCCTGCCACCAGCAAAATTTCTCAGCTCCTATTATCCAGAAACTGGCCAATGGGAGCTGAGAGATTTTGCTGTGGTTGGGATGGAGCTCAAAGCCTCCCTCCTCGCTCCCAACATAGAGCAGCCACCTTTAAAGTGATGGCAGCTGTGCTGTGCTTAAGGGACCCAGCAAGGCAGTCACAGACCAGATCTGGTGGCTTGCCAGGCTAGATCCAGACTGCTAGCCACCTCTTGCCCACCCTTGGCTTAATCCATGACCTCTCACTGATGGTTAAATGCTATTGTCTAAACACTATTGTGATCTAAAAATAAAAAGGAGTCATATAAAAAGTGGAAACTGGGTCAAATTACAAAGGATGGATATAAGCAAACAATGCAAATATGCAGGGGCAAGATTAGAAAAGCAAAGGCATAAAACGAGCTCAATCTAGCTAGAGACATAAAGGGTAACAAGAAGACTTTCTACAAATATATTAGAAGCAAGAGGAAGACCAAGGACAGAGTAGGCTCATTGCTCACTGAAGAGAGAGAAACAATAATAGGAAACTTGGAAATGGCAGAGGTGCTTAATGACTTATTTGTTTCAGTCTTCACCAAGAAGTTCAATGGTGACGGAAACCTAATAGTGAATGCTAGTGGAAATGGGGTAGGTTTAGAAGATAAAATAAAAAAAGAACAAGTTAAAAATTTCTTGGAAAAGTTAGATGTCTGCAAGTTACCAGGGCCTGATGAAACGCATCCTAGAATACTCAAGGAGCTGATAGAGGAGGTATCTGAGCCTTTAGCTATCATCTTTGAAAAGTCATGGAAGTCAGGAGAGATACCAGAAGACTAGAAAAGGGCCAATATAGTGCCCATCTATAAAAAGGGAAATAAGAACAACCCAGGAAACTACAGACCAGTTAGTTTAACTTCTGTGCCAGGGAAGATAATGGAACAAGTAATTAAGGAATTCATCTGCCAACATCTGGAAGAACATAAGGCGATACGTTACAAACAGCATAGACTTGTAAAGAACAAATCATATCAAACCAATCTGATAGTTTTCTTGGATAAGATATGAAGCCTTGTGGATGAGGGAGAAGTGGTGGATGTGGTATACCTAAACTTTAGTAAATCATTTGATACAGTTTCACATGACCTTCTTATTAATAAACTAAGGAAATACAACCAAGATGGGACTACCATATGGTGGGTGCATAACTGGCTGGATATCCATTTTCAGAAAGTAATTAATTATTAATGGATCACAATCACGGTAGAAGGGCATAACAAGTGGAATTCCACAGGGGTCTGTCTTGGGTCTGGTTCTGTTCAATATATTCATTAACAATTTAGATATTGGCATAGAGAGTACGCTCATTAAGTTTGAAGATGATACCAATC